GGGGTGGGGTGGGGGTGACTGGTATTGCTTTTTTCTCTCAATAGGTCACCCAGCATACAAATCCTAATCAACCACTAGGCGTGCACTTCACGTTCTCCTGTCTGAGTAAGTCACTAATCAGGTCAACCAAAACACGGTTACTCAAACACATAACACTGAGCCACTTTGTTCTGGTTAACGGTACAGCAAATTGAACACACAAACACACGCGAGACTTATAACAACACCAACGGGTCTTGGGGCTCCAAAGATCAAAATCAAATCCTTGTGCTTATAGATCTATTGATTGGCGTTATCGATTCAACATTCCGTTTTGGCACGAGCTGTCTCTCCGCGGGACCTCTGTCGGCTCACTAATCTCTCTATTTGGCACGTTTAGGACCACCAGTATGGCTTTGTAACGTCTCAATAATTCAGCTTAAGATCCAGAGACAAAAGGTTGTATAAAACAATGATGTATGAGAAATAGAACCTTTTAGTTTTGCAACGCTGTCGTGATTCAGCAAAGGTCAAAGAGACAAAAGACTGTATAAATGTCTGACAAATAGAACCTTATGACCCCGAAAGTACGTCACGCCGCCCTTGCAATGCAAATGTCTTCCTTATCAATCATGTCCTTAATCGCTCTCACAATAGAACCCTTTAAAAAATATGTTTTAATAATTGGATGAGTCTTTAAATGAAAAAGAGGCTTTTAGATTTAAAACTAATCTAGCAGACAACATAGGGTTTTGGAAACCGTTATCTATAATTTGTCTCAACGTGTAGGGCCGAAAATACCAGTTTTCACCAGGCTGCAAATGCCTGGAGAGAGAAAGTTGTTCAGAGATACAAGTAGATAGGGATGACAACAGAGTGTACTTTATGAAGTATTATTTACATCTCTTTTTAATATAGAAAATAGCACCTGAGGTCCAAAGAAAGTTCCCATATGGTATTTTGTGATTTATACAGATTGTTTGATTTTGGTTTTCTTTAATTACAAAGTAAGTTTTGAGTTAGGATAAAGAACGAAAGAAAGCCTTGGTCAACAAAGTAAAAAATTATCGAGAAGAGAATCCTTACGTATAATTTATTCTCCTCAACAACTCGCATAGTGTGGTCTCGTCGAGGAAATTTTCGCGAACTGTGTTTTTCTACCCTATGATTGGCATGGTGAGTCCGTGCGTGCAGTCGTCTGTCTGGAAGTCGGACCCGACACAGTTGTGGCACCACAGGAAATGGTCCGGGTCTACGCGTTGCTTGATGGCCTTGAGCTTGCAGTAGTTGGTCATGCTGCCCCAGAACATGGTCTTCCAGTCTGTCAAGTCCTCGTCACACTCATTGAAGTACACACCTGTAGCCACCTTCCTCAAGCTCAAACCCAGCCTCCTGGACATGTCGATGTACGCGCTACCGTTGAGGACTTTGGAGCTATCCCAGCTGACCCCACATGACAAGGACATTAGTCCAGACCGGAAGTACGGGTTCACAGGGGTCGTTTCCGGTTGAACTTTACTGGCAGCGCCGCCTATCAGAGCTCCAGTACAGCCGCCTCGGGTCAGGTCAAGATGTATGAAGATGTCGACCAGCTCGTCCAGTTTCTTCTCGTCGGTTATCGTGGACGGCTGCACGAACGTGTTCACGATATACGTGTTGCTGTAAGCCGCGTCTATAGCCGTCTTCTCGTAGCCCAAGAACGTGGGATAGCTAATGTCCTTTCTCGTGACCTGATTCCCGCTGACGTTGAAGTTGAGAAGAGCATCGATATCTTTGTTGCAAGGGTCGCTATCGGATCCAAAGTGATTAAAAAAGACCGTCAAGACTTCTGAGTAAATCGTGTTAGGAATACTATCCCCAGACAGCATGAAATACCCACCCCAGTTGGGACACAACTTGGCAACTTCCCTCAGAACAAACTTCAGCGTCTCCCTACCGAAACTATCAACAGTCCCAGCTTTGAGAATCCACTGAGCTTGTACATTACGGAACCTCTCAGGGGCGTAGTGAAGTTTGAAAGTGAAAGTCAACACCGCACCCCACGTGCCTCCCCCACCACCTCTGATAGCCCAGAACAAAGACGTATCGTTAGTCCGTGTGACTGACCCATCGAGTTCAATGGCCGAGGTCCCCATCTCGGACACGGTCAGTATCCGGCCGTCTACAGTGACCAGGGTGGCCTCTAGGAGATTGTCCACTGCCAGTCCGAGTGTCCGAGTCATAGGGCTGTGACCTCCGCCCTGTGTGTAGCCGCCCATAGCTACAGTGTGAGCGCTGCCACCCACAATAACACGACCCACTGTCTTGTTATTCTCTACCGTCTGGATCTTGCTTACCTGAGGAAGGGAAGGGGAAGAAGGAGGGCGTGAGTCTGGGTTAGTTATTGATGTGAGAGAGGTAAGTCGGGGAGAGTTAATGCTGTGAGGGTTGAATTGACATGGTTGAGTCGGAGGGAGTTGAAATTGCGACAGGGTGGTCGTAATATGATGATGGTGACGACGACGAAGACGACGACGACGACGACGACGATGATGATGATGATGATGATGATGATGATGATGATGATGATGATGCTGATGATGGTGAG